GAGAGAGAGAGAGAGAGAGAGAGAGACAGAGACAGAGACAGAGAGCCTTCCAGGATGAGGGATTTGTGTCTTATTGGGAATGGGGAGAAATACAAGGCATTCTGGGGTGACCCCTGGGAGCATGTGAGCTCCATCACAGCCTCTCTTGCTGCGGTGGACAGCACAGGCTCTGCTGGGTCAGGAGGGAAGGCAGAAGAAAAGTGGCCTGTGCCCTCCAGACCATGAAGGTGAAGGTACTAAGGGAGGCTCTCAGAGAGATAGGAAGTAGGGTCCCCCCTCCCTCCAGGAGCCAGGTGGTGAACCATGAAGTCCAGGTTTGCTTATGAGACACTGTCCCTGACAGGCCAGTGGACAGGCAGTGTCCATTTTCTTCACTCAGTCACCTATTCCAAGGTACTTCCCACCAGGCACAGGCATGCAGAATGCTCTGCACTTGCTCCCTGCCTGAACTCTGCCTCCAGCCTCCTGCTCTACACAGCCAGACCAGATGCACCCTGTGTGAGTGTCATCAAGACTCGGAGGAGACAGTTCAAAGCCACAAAGCTCCTTTCTCTCCTGTCATCTCCTGGAGCTACCCTGGGCCTGTCCCCACCATGTCATAGTGACTCTGGGCTTTCTCCACCCTTTCTTGGCTTACTGTCACCTGTGCCAAACTGCACCGTCTCCCTACCAGTGTGGTATCATCCAGAGAGACCTTGATTGGTCATTGGTGCCTAGTGAGCGTGCATGAAGACTTTAGGTTATGTTTGCTTTCTTCATTCTTTCTACAGGCAACCAGGGCATCATGGCCAGACTCTTCCCATGCTCTGGGTGCTTGATAAATGCCAGCTTCAATGCATTAAGACAGGCTCTGCAGCCACTGCCCGTGAGCCTCTCCCATGCATGAGGCTGGGAGCCCCACACTCTACAGACATCATCTCACTCTGTCCCTTAGCTCTGCCGCCAGCTATCTTTAGCTCATTTCTAGAGACTCTGAGACGCTGATGGGGCAAAGTGATGCCCAAGGTCACTGGACTGCCTGTCGGCGCCAGGACTTCAGGCCAGAGGAACTTCAAAGCCGGCTGCATCTTTTCCCTGCAGTCTCAGAAGTCAGGCTGGGGGAGGGGAGAGAAAGAGCATTTTCTGTAGTAGATGCACCCCCAGGTATTCAAGTTCAGAGATCTAAGAAAGTCGTTCTGTGCCATGAATAAGAGAAATATATGAGTGTAAAAGGGAAAACAGAAAATATATTGGGATTCTGACATGAGCTGAACTTGGTGACCCTGAAGTCCTATATGGAAGCCCTGACACCCCCCAGGACCCCGAAAGGTGACTACACTGGTATTCAGGCATTTAATGAGGAATTGAGTGAAAATATGGCCACTAGTATTGGCTCAAATCCAATGAACTGTTGCTCTTAACACCTGGAGAAAATGTGAACAGGGAAAACACTGGAGGACACAGCATGAAAGTGGCCACCCACCAGCCATGGGGAAGATCCATGAAAGAAGCCAGCCCTGCCCACACCTTGGTCTTGAATTTCCAACCTCCAGATCTGGGAAAGAAATTCATTTCTGCTTTCTATGCTTGGCTTTGGTGTTTTGTAATGGCAGCCCTGGAAAACTAATGCAGAGCCCTATTGCAATAAATACCAAGAATATATAAAAGGTTCCTGGAAACGAGTAAGAAAAGGATCTAACCATGAAACACAAGCAAAGGATAGAAATAAATTCACAAAGAGAAACACAAATGGCATTTGCATAGGAAAAGATGCTCATTCTCACACAGGATAAATATCAACACACCCCGGTAACATAGTGGTGGAAACCAAGGAGTAAGAGGAAGAGATTGAGGTCCTAATGTGCCCTCCGTTATCCTGGAAGCCCTCTCACAAAGCTCTGTCTCTTAAAGGTGCCACCACTTCCCCACGGTACACTGGCCAGAGACCAAGTCTTGGGGATTTCAGGGGATGCTCAAGCCATGGGTGTTT